TACGAACAAAAGAAACATAATAGCACGAAGACAAATAACTGGGAAACTAACTTCAGCACCTATAATCTATAACTGAAGACCATCTTGTATTATTTGTGAAGTAGACACTGAGTATTTATCTATTAGGTCTTGGTGGATGAACGAAGAGACGTTGTTTGACAAAACCCTGACTCATCAATTGTTTACTCTGACACTGATGACGTTTCACAAAGTCTGAGTAGCAGCTGCAAGCATATGTCATACGAGCATACGTTACACTCGAGCATGTTCACGCTATACGGACTTCAGCTTCATTGAGGTATGCTTCTTTAACATAAACTGCTCTATACTACATACGGTCAACATCATGGATTGCTTGATTGATACGGTATTTCTGAGTCTAAACTCACTAACAAAACCTTTTAACAGCATTACATCTTTAGATACCAGAATAATCGTCAAGTGATGTTACTGATTGTTTCCTAATTTGTGCCATTTGAACAAATTGGGATTTGGAGTTCATGTGTTTCCCTCATTTTTTGTATGTTTCCATGAATTGTTTTCTTGATCGTTACAGGAAATATCAAATTATTCATCGTATATCGACCAAATATACTGATCAAAGATACCCGGCTTATAATTGTGTACATCAGACCAGGTGACAGAGAATGACCTGTAATGTATTATTCCATTTCCTGTTGCTAGAGTTTATGTTGAAGATGTTGATTCTATCATTGTTGACAGAGACACTCTTTATATCAAACAACGGACGAAGCCTTCATCAGAGTGTAGTCATAATAATCGCCTGACCTTCCAATAAAAAAAATTCAGTACATCAAATGAAAATGTCATGTATTAGTTTATATCTATAGATATAAGAAGATGTGGTATGAGTGCCAATGAGACAACTCTCCATCCAAGTCAAAATTTATAAAAGTAAACCATTATAGGTCACAGTACGGTCTTCAACACGGAGCCTTGGCTCACACCGAACAGTAAGCTATAAAGGGCCATAATTGGAAAACTTAAACTGTGTTTAACCCACCACATGTGTGTAGTGTCCGTGTACCAAGTCAGATGCTTCGAGCACGCAACACAGCAAAGAAAGTCCCTTTCTTGTCGATTTACTAACTCATATGCTAACGGAAAACTGCAATAATACTCCAGGACACAAATGCCAGGTGTCAATATAATGACAACAACTTAGTAACAGTAGTAAAGTGTTAAGGTAGATTCACTGTATATCGCCATCTTGGATTGTGCAATAGAAGTACACAATCGGTCTAGTTCTTTGCCTAAATCTGCAAATTTTGAGAGAGATTTGCAATTTATGTGTAAGACTGTTTATTTGTTTAAAGAAAAATAACTGATTTATTGCATTATCCAAAATGTTTAAACAAATACCAAATATTTGTGTTTTTTAAAATCAATTTTACAACTTATCCATTTAAGGGGAGATAACTCTTATCGTAAAATTTTTATACTGGAAAAATTACTTACCACTGTCCATAAAGTCGTACATTTGTCAAACCATACGTTCCATTTGATGACATTAACTTTCATCAAAATTGAAGCTATTTCTCATATGTTCTTTGGATTGACAAAAAATAAAAGAAATCAGATACTTAGGCATGCTGAGTTTTGAGACATAGGAACAACAGAGTCAGCTCGGAGCAAGTAGGATAATCAGTGTGCTGTGCAACAGCCGCTAAATACCTAGGGTTTGAAGTAAACCAACACACGACGAATCCATTGTATTCTGTATACATATATAATATTTATAAAAATGAAGAAAAAAAAACTCCGCCCCAATGTGAATTCAAAATCAAGAGACCTGGCTCCTAAGAACTTGTAATGGCGTTGTCAGTTTATTTTCGACTAATGAGTTTGAATGTGCGTTTTGTATATTTCGCCTCTCTTTTACATAAAAGTAAATGTCATTGAAAAATCTACAAACAATCAATAATTTACATATACATGACGAGGTACACATTTGTGTCAGCTTTTGTTTTGATGAAAAAATGTAAACATTCGTAACCGCCATTTGGCAAAATTTCCACTTTCATTCTTAATTTAAAAGACAATGCACAAATTTCCCTCGTATAATGTATGATCAGTCATGTAAATAAATATCTTTAGATTTGATTTCTATACTTATTTTTTATGTTTCATTTAATCAAATGTTTAAATTTCTCAGAGAATGTGACATCGTTCTACATGACGACGAAGAAAAGATCATTGGTGGCGTTAATTGTGGGCGTGAACAATTTAAAGACTCATACTTTTTGTGTCGATTGAATTACCTTTATCTGTCAAATCCCGTCAGTTATCGATCAGTGTTCAGGTATTTAAAAGTGTTAATGTGCAATTCATTATTCATTTTTGGAGCATAATATTAGTATAGTAGTAAACTTTTAGAATTTGTTCTTGATATAATATAAAACTAACTTCACACTGTAATTGATATCAACAGTATATTTTCAATTGGACGTATTAGTACATGGAAAGTATAATCGTTTGTGTGAGTATGACAGTCTATAAATACCACATGTCTCATTATACATTGAAATAAATATTGTTTGTACTGCATCAGTTTTTTTTGTCATATCATTATTTGTTTAATCCAAGGTAAACTTGTTTTGTTTTTCTGTCATATACCGTATATAATTCATATATAGTATTTTGATTCATTGTCGTATAAATATTTTAATTGTACATAAACGATGCCGACCGGTAATTTTGTTCCTCACAGAGATTGAGGAGATGTAATGTTATTAAATGGTAATTTCTTCTTGTTGAGATGCAAACAATTTTTTATGCCCCCGCGAATTAAAAAAGGATGTGGACCCCAGAAACTTTTATAATAAGCTTACAGAAAAAAAAGCCGAGGGAGAAAATAGTGTATAAAGTTTGGTATTGTCAACTGAACATTTCTTACATGAAACTCGTGATGTAAAAATAATATCATGTATCAAATCATAAATCAAAATTAATAAATGCAGATGAAATCTAGAAGCAAAAGGACAGCGCTATTATCATTGTTCTTCATTACATTTTGTAATAAATTAAAAAAATATATTTAAGGCCTTCGATTTTTTTCAAGTTACAGTTTGCAAAGGATATAATTATTTCATATATTCTTTATAATGATTAAATATTAAAAAAAGATACAACATAACTATTTCTGTTATATGCGTTTTATTTAAACACAATAACACACACTATATCAAGTTACTGGTATATTTCCTAATATCTTTGGTCTTAATTACAAGACACTTTTACTTACAAGTATATGATTACAATGAAGTAATTAATTACATAGGCGACAATGGTAGCCTTTTTTGGTCCTACGTTTTCACCATCAAAGATCCATTGAAAAAAATGTCGAATTCTGAATTATCAACACCTTTGGGTGTAATTGAAACTGCAAAACACATATGGTGCCGCAGCTTTTTTGATAGAAAATTGGCATTTTTTAATGGTACTCAACGTTTCCGGAATTTTCGAAATAGTATAAATGAAGAACACCCCTTGCTAAATTTGGCACAGAAAATGTTGCTCGTCACAGAGAGTTTCCTCTAAATTTCTCGCTATTTCTACACCAATGGCCAACACTCATTTCTCATTTTTTCAATCTTGATTTCTAATTACCAGGGCAGCAGAAAATATTTTTACTTCTACCTATTATCTTGGATGTGAAATCTAGGTGGCGCCAGTCATCTTTATTTACTTCCTTTTAACCTATACTGACATATATTTAAATAAAATCGGACAACCTTTACATTAGTCGATTACTATATACCCCTGCTGCTTAAGTTCCAATTTTTGGATTAAAGATACAATTGTTCATCATTTAAAATGACTTTCTTTACAGGTACTCCCCTTTGCAGAAAACGTTACTTTTTACAGACTTGAGGCCATTGACCAGCTTATTTTGACTGTTTGTCTTTGTTTAAAACGAGGTGTTTGATAAATGAAGTTCGATTTAGGCCTATTAAAGACTTTAGGCTAATGATTTGATAATTGTGTCAAACTTATATGTCTTTATCACGAATATACGAACACCGTTACATAAGAGTCAAAATATTTTATGAAATAGACTTTAAAAATGCTGAAACTAAGAATTTATCATTGCTGTTATGTGTTTTACATGAATCGTGTGCAGAATATTCAATTCATCGATACTAAGGAGAAACATGTACAGCCTTTGATTTTTTACCTAATTTTAATATTTTAGGAGCATTTTGGCACATTTTGGCCATTAAAAATACCAAAATTTCAATAACGTCAGCAAAAAATAAGCCCCCCTTTTTTAGATATGCATGAATACATGCAGTGTTATCGAGGATAAGGAGAAATGATTAAAGACAGAGTCCTTGACAGAATTCTCGTTCTTACAGTAGGTTAATGAACCCTACCCCTTAGGCAGAAGAATAAAAAAAAACAGTAAAAATTTGATATATGCTATAGTTTCATGGCGATCAGCAATTTTCTTCTGATACAGTTTATCACTTAGTACCTTATTAATTTACCTATCCAATTTCTAAAATATCTCGAAAAATACAGTGATGCGCCAGAAACCGTTATTTCGCTTTAGGTTACAATGAAGTAATTAATTACATAGGCGACAATGGTAGCCTTTTTTGGTCCTACGTTTTCACTATCAAAGATCCATTGAAAAAAATGTCGAATTCTGAATTATCAACACCTTTGGGTGTAATTGAAACTGCAAAACACATATGGTGCCGCAGCTTTTTTGATAGAAAACTGGCATTTTTTAATGGTACTCAACGTTTCCGGAATTTTCGAAATAGTTTAAATGAAGAACACCCCTTGCTAAATTTGGCACAGAAAATGTTGCTCGTCACAGAGAGTTTCCTCTAAATTTCTCGCTATTTCTACACCAATGGCCAACACTCATTTCTCATTTTTTCAATTTTGATTTCTAATTACCAGGGCAGCAGAAAATATTTTTACTTCTACCTATTATCTTGGATGTGAAATCTAGGTGGCGTCAGTCATCTTTATTTACTTCCTTTTAACCATATGATGCGTGTTTGTGTAGAATATAACAAAATGACATGTACATGAATTATAATCCAATTGAAAAAAGGTTTATATAAAATATCAACATTAACATTGAGTCCCAATAACCAATCAATATAAAGGTAAAAAGTAAAATAAAAAAAAAATAAAAAAATAAAAAAAAAATACCGTTACTCATTGACATTTTTCTGAAATTATTTCGCAATTCAAAGTTAGTTTCGACTACTAACGTTGTTATCGATCTATTTAAAGATTTGGACTTTTCAAGTTTATTTATAATCTTTCGCTTTTCAGGAAAATTTAATAACAATATGGTTTTTCCGTGTTTATTTATAGTAATTTGATTCTCGGGTCAATCACATGTTGATAATTATAGTGATACAAACTTATCGTACAACACAGTGTTATATATGTTACGAACTGGAACTATACAATTTATTCTAGATTTTATTTATTAAGTGTTGTTTGTGCAACTTGACATTAGTCTGTGGAAAATTAAACCAATAAACGGTAAATTTTAAGAATTGATCTCAATATGATCTAAGACTGAATTCAAGTTATACATGTTATAGGTATTGTTTACACAATATATTAAACAATATTTATTAGTACATGGCGTGCCGTTAGTTTGAATATGAGAATCGACAAATAATAAAAGGACTCATTATATACTGAAATAAAAAGTGTTCGCATTGAACATGTTGAACAACTGTCGTCATATGCTATTCCAAAGTAAAAATACTTGTTCCGCAGAATTTTGTTTTAGGGTCTCGAATATTGGACATTTACTGAAGCATGTAAAGACGAGGACTTGTTAATCTATTTTTCTTACGCTCATGTCAATGTAATTTCAAGAGTAATAATTGTTTTTGTGAAAGATATTAGCCTTTTTCGTTTCAACAATGTGATCCAATAGAATTGTGGACTACATATTATATACATATCTTTTTTGAATACTCTACTATAAAACAGAATAGCAACAACCTGTAAATTTTGAAAATGTTAGAAAACCTGAAATGGATCACTATTGTTAACAGTCATTTGAAAAATATTCTTTATAACCATGACTAACAGAGAAAAGGCAAATGGTAGCGTTATAACGACAAGAAAATTGTCTACGGATTTGCGTATCTATGAAATATTTTAATATCAAAATCAACTTAAAGTATTGAATTGAAAGAATATGCTTTATCAGTTCATGTCACAAAATCCTTTACATATTTGAGAAATACATAAACCAAGGGATAGTGCTTTAATATTCTAACACCTCATGGTCCACTTGATGCCTTTAACACGAATCAAAAGAGCTCCAACTTTATGACTTGTTAAAAAAGTCTCCAAGAGAATCAGTTTGGTAGAAATTATTTGCAAGATGTGGATCCATGCTATTCTTTACATTCAAAAACTCAGCTGCTTATCAAAACTTTGCAATGAAAATTATTATTTCTAACAAACGACACACATTGGCTATGACTCTTACGAGGGACATATATACGAAGACGACTTTTTTGTTTGAACTCAACCCTCCTCATTTGATTTCGCGCAGTCTAGATAAGTTATACGGTCGTTGTTACATATTGATTTATTGTTTTATGGTGTTTCATAGTTTCAGCTTTCTAAAGAATCGTAACTTTGTCATAAATCTCTATGTCAAAAGTCGTTCATTTTTACGCTAATAATGTACCATTTTATGCAAAAAGTAAAATCACAAAAATACTGAACTCCGAAGAAAATTCAAAAAGGAAAGTCCCTAATCAAATGGCAAAATCAAAAGCTCAAACACATCAAACGAATGGATAACAACTGTCATATTCCTGACTTGGTACAGGCATTTTTTTATGTAGAAAATGGTGGATTGAACCTGGTTTTATAGCTAGCTTAACCTCTCACTTGTATGACAGTCGCATCAAATTCCATTATATTGACAAGGATGCGTGAATGAAAACGACGCCAAAAAGTTCCAAAAAATGTAAACTCGAACAAAAGAACGCTTTTACATTTCAGAACTTTTTGTTCATATGATTTGAAAGAATCAAGACACTTTATGCAACAGAAAGTTTTGATATCAGTAAATAGTTGTCAGGTTACTCTCTAATTGAGGGAAACAAGACAGCTAAATTCATTTATTGACAAAAACTACCAAAATCAGAAAGCCCGGGTAGGATTTTGTACCATGAATTGATACTCCATGTCCCTTCTTTTACATTATAACAACGTACCATCAATAATATTATAATACGTCAACACATTGATACAGGAGAATAAAAAATACTAACGTTTCCATTTCTTTTGATCGGTTTGTATTTATAATTTGAATATTGTTTAATTCTTATTTATTGCCCTTCTCAAACACCTACCAAGAAAGGTATAAATGCAAATGATAAACTCAAAATGTGCACCAGTTGTCATTCAGAAAACTTATTTGTCCGTTTAGAAATTATGGTCTACTTATTTGGTGAGCCTGAAATACATATTCCCATATTTCCCTTTGATTTTTTATTGGAATTATGGCGTCCTCTTGAATGATCTAGAAACTGAAACAAACGAATGAGGTATATGATAAAAAATGATGGTATTTATCATTGTAATAAAGACAAAAAACTTATTGAAATAGTCTTTCTTTAAATTTCTTAATGAAAGTTATATTTCTGCCGTATATATAGCCAAATTTTATATTTGTTTAGGGTGAGTTTGCTGGTATGATTGCGTTTATATGCAGTAAACTTATACATAACTATCCTAAGAAGAATAGTTGTTTAAATATTCCAATACGACAATTATCATTCACATGCGGTGTTTGCCGTAATAAGTGATAAAGTGCCATGTAACGGTGAAAAAAGAACTAATCTCAGTTGCCATGTGTCGTTATATATCATTCAAGTAAATCACAAGATGAATTATTGCTGCCAAATTATCATTATGACTAAATGCAGCATGTGATACGTATTGATTTTTCATGGCTAGCACTTCGACAGTTTACGTCATGGTCCAAATAGCTATGATGGGTAAATACCAATATATATATTATTTTCTGCGAATAAAGTTTATATCAATGATGGTTGACAATAATGTAGAGAAATAAGACGATGAATACTAATTCTAATTTTTAATTGTCTTTTTCTTCGCTCTCACTCCATATGGAATTTACTGACCCCATATATATCGTGTTAGGTCACTAGCACACTATGTAACTAATGATATATTTCCTGAAAGAGAATTGACATAATTCAATGTTCTAAATATTTGAGAAGTTCGGGTTTAAGTTAATATCTATAAATGATCTGAATATTCGACGGGTTCAAGAACATTCGAACTGTCCAAGTATAGAAACGGACATTGCTGTATTAGATTGGCAATTAATTCTATCGTATATGTTAATAAGAATAAAAGAGTTAATAATCAGTGTAGTAACATACTATTTTTGCTATTTCTGCATAGTTCCATTAGCCTCTAAAACAGTTGTTGTTCTTTATGGTATAAAACCACTATTTCATAGCCCCGTTGCTTTCTATGTTTCGTAGTTTCTCCTACAGTAAGTATTCAACAGGCATACTGTTTGCACAAATTAAGGAGGTCAAAGACTCTTTAATAACAAAAAATATAATAGAAAACAGCGAAAACGAAAGCTTTGCTCATTTTAAGGAGATTTGACCACTAGTATAGTGTCAAACTACCGAGATAAAGATGAAGATTATATGAAGAACAAACAGAAATTCAAGCAATGGGTCACTAAAAAAAAAGACAATACAAGAAAGAGATATATAGACATAAAAATAACAGTAATAATAACAAAGGAATAAATGAGTAAAATGAATAAAAAAATTTGCCGTATCTTAAATACGACAAAAGGTAGATACTCTTATCGGGTGAACAGCGATTTTCTAAAAATATCAAGATTTACTTTATACTATTGAACATATTTAAAAAATCAATATATTTTCCAATCTTAAGGTGGTACCCAACACCTTGACTAATATTAATTTGGCTCGTTTAATTTTCATAAAATTTTGACAAAATGTTTACTTTGACCCTTTGACAAAAATATAAAAATTTCAAAAAATTTGAACCAACCACTTTATCAGAAAAATTTCATTGGTTATATAGCAGTTTGACAAACACTAATTTTGATCATTGAGAAGCTTAATATTTCCTTAACAATACAACGTGATTGAAACGTTTAGCTGATTTTTACAGAGTTATCTCCCTGTAGTGTTAGGTACCACCTTAAATTTCAAAAAATCATAGTCTGACGAAACGTACTTTTGCTTTCGTTTCTTGGTATCTAAAAATAGTAAAACAGTCACTGTCTATATGTACGATACCAATATTTCCTGATACGCAGTTAAATTCGAAGGATATTTTGTGCCATAGTTTAGGGTTATAAAATGTAAGTACATTATTTCATTATATGTATGCTATGAGTATCTGAGTGTATTGTTAGTTGAAAGTATTTTGATAGAATTACTTAAGGGAAGTATCTATTAAACTAAAGATCAAAACAAATTATTGGAACGCATATCTGTCATTTTGTATTGATTGTCATTGCAATGTATTTTTATACTGTTCATTTTACTTTCACTATCTAAACCATCCCTAACATGAACGAAACGTTCATCAATAAAATAGTTTTAACTGTTTTAGGATGAAATCATCATAATCACCGGAGAAGCTCCCTAATTAATTTAAAAAAAAAAAAAAAAATCTATATCTTAGCCGATAGTTCTCAAATGGTAAACAGTACTAATATATCATTGATAATTGCTAATTTAAAAAAAAAATAACAATTAAGGCAACATTATATCCAATCAAATAAACTTCGTTTCACTTTGAAAAAAAAAAGAACGGATGTGGTTAACTGCATCAGACATATATTCGTATGACAATATCATGGAAATAATAATCCTTAAGAAATAATAGAGAAAACAAAATCGTATTTAGTTACAGAGTTGGATACCTGATTTTTGTTTATATTTCAAAATAAACAAAAACACGAATACGATATCGGGCATCTGAACGAATGACATGAAGAAAAATATTAACAAGTCACCCCAAAAGAAAAAGAATTAGCTAGTATTAGTAGATGACAAACTTCATTATAACAATGATAAGAAACGGTAGAATTTTCATTAGAATAATTGGTCACGATTAAATATCATTACGTTTGTTAATTTTGAGGCAGAACATGCAATTACTTGCATAGTTAAGTACAACCTCAGATAAGATATACTTTACTCAGAGAGTAATATGCGCCCTTTTGAATGACAAAAGAACCCTGCATACATGTAATATTGTCAATTAAAAGTTATCGTAAAATTATGAATTTTCAGAGGCAAAATGCAGATAAATATAAAAGCAATTCAATGCATGGAAATTACAAAAATTAAAAAGTAGTGAAAGATAATATTAAACATGCACGACAATGTTTTAAAATTTAATTCTACCCGATATATAATACTGAAATATATCTTAAACTTTTCACGTGTACAGTGTGAATTCTTTACACTAATAGATGTAAGGATTAATTAGCTAAATATAAAAATAGTTATATGAAATCAAGTTAGGAGATGATAGCTGGATAAGATTTTCACTTTGAGCAATTCAAGATGGAAATAAGAATAACAGGAAAAATTGCTTCATTACCACGAAAACCTTACAATCAGAACAGACAAGCTATACTGTTGATAAACATGAAATCGCAGATATGATGATGATATCAGTGGAAAAACGTTTTTGTTGTTGTGTTTCATATTGAAGGCAATTTAAGGGTTTTCAAGGGTGGAAAAAAAAAACGAGAACCGTACAACAAAGTGGAGACGACCCAAAGAATACATTTATCTGAAAAATCAATATTATACATATATAAAAAAAAAGAAGATATGGTATGATTGCCAATGAGACAACTCTCCACAAGAGACTAAATGACACAGAAATTAACACCTTCAGGTCACCGTACGGCCTTCAACAATGAGTAAAACCCATACCGCATAGTCAGCTATAAAAGCCCCCAAAATGACATTTGTTAAACAATTCAAACGAGAATACTAACGGCCTGATTTATGTACAAAATAATAAATGAAAAATAAATATGATAGACAGCAACAAACGATAGCCCCTGAATGACAGGCTCCTGACTTTGGACAGGCACATGCAGAATGTAGCTGGTTAAACAAGTAAGATGGCGCGAAACAGCATTGAATATAAATTTGTTCCAGAATGATTCAACATTCATATAGTTTGTTTGATTATGAGATACCCAATTAAATTGCAAAAGTTCAATTCCTCCCCCTTCAACAATATTTGATTTTCTGTGTTTAAATTTGTTCACAACTTTATCTAGACTAATAGGACGAAAAAGGAAATCTCAGAAAAAGCATAATATATATAAAAACCAGATGTGACGAACGACACGATTAACTCCGTTCGCCGAAAAATCTTGAAACCGTTTTTAGGTGTGAAAATTTGAGAATGAAAGTCTGTTTAACTGTTATTTTCACAAAATTTTCAATGTCCAAAGCCCATGATTGCAGCAAAACTCAATGGATGGAGCGGCACCAAACGTAAACCAATCTGTAACTCATCATAGTATACGCACATACTAAAAATTAGCTCAATGTGTGAAGAAGTTTAGGAAAAAGTTTGCATAACTGTTATTTTCACAAAATTTTTAATGTCCAAAGCATGCAATTTCAACAAAAATCAGCGGAGCAGAACCAATATTGAACTTGATATGTAACTCTTCATAGTTGACTCACATACTAACAATCAGCTCAATGTGTAAAGTTGTTAAGAATAAAGTCTGCGTAACTGCTATCATTAGTCCAAAGCCCGTATCTTGGGCAAAAATCAGCAAAGCGGAACCAAACTTAAACGTGATCATAGTAGACTCACATACTAAAAATCAGCTCAATATGTGAAGAAGTTGAGAAAAAAGGTCCGCATAACTTTATTTTGCGGAATGAAGGAATAAAGGAATGACGGAATGACGGATAAGGATAAAACTATATGGCGCCAACAACTTTGTTTCAAGGCCATACAAAAAGAAATTTTTCATAACTGAAAGGTTACCATTATCAAGCACTGCTAAACCCTATAAGTTATATTGTTGACATGCCAGGGAAGCAGTTAGTTAAATCGTTGACATATCTGGGGAAGAATGAATTTTAGTACTTCCTTTACTCCTTATATGTAGCTTTATCTATTAATTGTGTTCATTACTTGTGAGTCGCAATGCTATGAAATGATAGACTTTATAACTTTGTTGGTAGGAATTGGTGTATATAGGCTAAAATTCTATTCAAACTAGTACAGGAAAAGTACTTAGCTCCGAAATCCCCAAATAGTCTTTAAATCCACTTCATATGAACTTTGGTGGATAGTTGTCTCATTGGCAATCATACCCAACTCCTTAATTTTATATTTGTACGTTGTTCATAAATTTACCAAAACAATCAAAGATCTGCTATAAAGCCCAATTAAAAAAAAAACAAAACAAAAAAACCCAAACATTTATATATGGCATAGAATAAATACAGACGAGGGTACCGACTTGAGACAGGCACATGCAAATGTGTCGGGGTTAAACAACTATTTTAAGATCTCAACCCTCTTTTTTTTATCTAGATGAGGATAAGTAGATAACAAACGGAACATAAGCGTATTTACTGTACAAACCAGAACACGAAAAGCTCAAAAATAGCAGTAAAATAGATAAAACAAACATAAATTTCATAGCTAACTACCTTTGATGAGTTTTTACAACTCATGAATGAATGCATTGGAATGAATAAGCGCAACAACTGAAAGCATGCTGCAATACTCAACTTAACGTTAAGAAATCATGCAGCACTACACTTTATAGCTTTTCAGAATTGAAAGTCCAGATATCTTGGATTTTCTTCGAGTATATTTGGAAAGATGATAGTAATCTTTTTAGAATAATCTTTAATGACTAATGACTACAGATATACATATAACCGTGACATAAACATGAACAAAAAATATTAGAAAATTGATAAATACTTATTCTCCTATATTATGAAGCATCTACGATAAACTCGATAAAATCAACTTATAATCAGACCTATCGTAGAATCATTTGGATACGTTAACCAAGTTGCATCTTTTTGACAGAAGTGTAGTTATTCAATCAATTAAGGAAACTTTTATGAAAAGCTAAGACATTTAAGTCTAAATGACTTACAATATTTTCGTTAGTATACTGATGTTTTCGTTAAACTTGATATTCATTCAGTCATACATGTAAGAAGACATCATTGTTGAAAATGAAAACCTTCCGGTCTAAACAAGAAATTAGATTGCAAATAAATAATAAAACACTTTCATCATTTTATAAAGAATTTGAAAAGAAATAAGAACATTGAATGAGGTTTAGAGACAAAATATTAAGGTCGGAAAAATAGGTCACTTAAATCAAATTGTTACTTCAAAAAGCAGGAGAGAGAAAGGGTATTTATTGTCATGCATACGTGACAAGATATCTAACTCCTAAGGACCTTTATAGTCATTTTAAACCCGACATGCACATAACTTAATTGTAATCAGGTGATTGAGGTTGTCACAATGGCGTTCATTTAACACAAGAGCTTTGACGTCATAAGTGACTTAATAATTGATGACATCATGTGTGACGTAATTTCTCTGATTCAATTTTATACATCGAAAAGATCTGTTTTATTTAAAATGATTAGACATCCGAGATTTCAACGTGGCTCTTCCCGAAAAGGATTCTTTTAAAAATGAAGGATATGAGTTATCTAAACGGAAGAAAACAATTCACCGGCATATGGGGACATCTATTAACACTTGTTTGTATCTGTGTATACGTCCAATAGAATTAAGGAATGGTGTTTAATAAAATTACACCTGTTCATTATAGTCCAGTTATTTAACCAATTTAATATCATTATTTACAGTACAAGGTAAAAGGAGATAAAATGGGAAACAAGATGAGTAAGCGAATCAACGATTCAGTAGAGGAAAATGTAAGTAAATAAACAATAAGAAAATTAAACAACATTTACCAATGGCCTGGAACGAAAAAAGCTTATACAGAAATAAAGTGATGCACCACTACGAAGTAATGAAAAACCAAACGGGCAAAGATCACAATTAAAAATATATCCTTTGTTTATTCGTAGTGAATGATAAAGAAAATTTTCATTTTGTAAAGCTAAATATCTAATCTATTTCACAAGTTCTTATTGTATAGAACTCTAAAGCATTTGACCAACTTTTTCAGGATATTTCCCTCGGCCATACGTTTGTTTGGGAAACACCAGGTAAATATATTCAACCTTCCATGGAGAATCATAGTTACAAAATCTTAGAAGACAGACAGTTTGAGTGGTTGAAATTTGGAAGTGATCATATTCTGGTAAATATACTAATTAAGATCAAAACGGATTGTCCGACATTAATGACTAAAATCATGTAAAAAACCCAATTATGCTAATTGCTAGACAAAACAGAGAGAAATGAAAATATCCCTTTGGGCATGTAGAACGTTCATCAGATCTTGTGTTATGTCATATTCGTTGTTAGTGAATTTAATATGTCAAACTCTGAAGCTGTTGGCGGATTTTCGGTTTGGTTCTTTATAGAATAATTAAACATTATAAAGCTACTATTTTACCGCACTATATTTTTAAATAGATTTTAAATTTGATAATTTGTTAATTTTACTAAAAACTATGGCTGCAAATATCTCAGACAAGTTAATACTTGGAGGTTAAGCCATATACTTATAAGTAAATATGACTGCCAATTAGGTCACCATACGGCCAACTACATTTAAGTCAATGTTGCTTATATAGCTTCGGATGCGCTTAAACATTAATTGTGTTTCCTCTCAGTGTAACACGTGAACGTAAATGAAAAAATCCGTCCGACCAGATAGTGGTATAAATCATCTTCAACTTGCAGCTAGGTGTGTGATGTTGATTCATGTTGCAGAACAGCAATACGAGCGCTGTTCTTTTACTTTTTAATTTTGACAAATGCGTAAAACATAAAGAGGAAAACAGAAAGTAGGGATTTTTGTTATACGTTTATACAACGTATTCTTTTATTTTCCATTTTGTGATAGAAGGGCAAAAGAATAAACTCAGTTCACTATACACAAGCAACATACATTAATCTAACAAAGATATATTTAAGTATAGCAATAAAAACAAAGACTAGATAACTTTCGTTTAATATCTTCAACGTTAATAAAACCATTCAATACACCGAACAGCAAAAGGATAATCGCTTTTAGGATTTTAAATAACATAATTTCATGAAAATTATACATTAAAATTATGCTGGCTTTGAAGAACTTGTATTGAAAAATGAAATGTTGTGCTTTTTCATTCTCATAATAATGCAATATATATGCAACTAAAGTCTTTATTTTTAGTTTACAACTTGCTTGAGAATAGTATGCATGATGTAGTAAAAATTAATTATAGAAAATATCTGTTGTGTTTTCAAGAGTGGAAAAGCTTCTAAGAAAAGTGATTGGAACTGTGGATGCATAGAACAGAAGGATGTCTCCGTTAGCCTCTTGCAAATGAAGTACTTGGATGGAACGAATATGAACGACATACAGGTAAGTATAAAAACTAACACTGATACAAAGCAAAATACTTAAATCAGCCCATCCCTCATGTTTCTATTAATGGTTTGTAATGAAAACATATAAACAACAGATACGTAAACATATCTAATAAACTATTAAATAAACAATATCGAAATCTTGCATATATGGTCTTCAAAATAATTTTCTAAAACATTCACGAAATTCGTAGCAGTTATTAATCACAGAAAATCTGATGGATTACAGGAAACTAAAATAAAAGAAAGAAAAATATGAATTGAATGTTAATTATATATTTACAATAAAAGACTGATTTTTGAAACACATATAAACCCCCTAACTAACTTGTTAAGATGCATTATCTAAAGTAAAATGTTCGAAGTTCAAAATAATTGAAATTAAGATAACATCTAGAAAAAAAGTAGAATGACAAAAATACCGAACTCCAAGGGAAATTCTAAATGGAAAGTCCTTCATAAAATGTCAAAATCAAAAGCTCAAACACATCTAACGAATGGAAAACAACTGTCATATTCCTGACTTGATACAGGCATTTCCTTATGTAAAAATGATTGATTAAACCTGGTTTTAGATTAACTATTAACTTACACAGAGAAAGATGATTTGACCAACATACAATGCATTTTAATGTCGAATGATTGCTTATGATTGAATTTTGAAAAAAAACCGCGTAGACTAGATACTATCTGGATCCGTACCAATTATTATAATTCCTCGTGTTATTCTAGATTCTTGATTTGTATAGTATGCAGCTGTTGAAGGCGGTACGGTGACATATAGTTGTTAATTTCTTTGTCATTTGGTCTCTTGTGGAGAGTTGTCTCATTGGCAATCATTCCACATGTTCCTATTTTTATATTAACTATGTGAGTTGAAAAAGTCCCTGACATTGATATAAGCAAAAACTGGTTTAAATTGGACAGCCTAAGTTTAAATTCTATCATCAATCCAAGACGTGCTTTAGAGTAGCTGAGAAACTACTTACTCTAGGGATTATGTAAGAAAACATATAAAGATCTGTTATATAAAAAAAGGAGATGTGGTATGATTGCCAATGAGACAACTAACCACCAACGTTCAAATGAAGTGAATGTAAGCAATTATAGGCAACCGTACGGCCTTCAACAATGAGAAAAACCCATATCGTATGGTTGGCTATAAAAGGCCCCGACATGAAAAATATGAAACAATTCAATTGAGAAAACAAACGGTATAATTTATAACAAAACAATTTACGAAAAACAAATATGACAGACATGAACAAACGACCACCACTGAACTACAGGCTCCTGATTTGGGACAGGCACATAAAGAATGTGGCGGGGTCAAACATGTTTGTGAGCGCTCAACCCTCCCCTAACCTGGGACAGTGGTTTATAGTGCATCTAAATTCCTTTCCTCCATTATAATATGACTTATCTACCCTTTTCATTGTTATTACCTATTCTAAAAAATTTGGACAGAAATCTATCTACTGTGTTTCATTAAAAGAAGGCCAACGTAGATATATATATATTTTTGTTTGAGGAAGGGATAAATCTTACTTTGTGAACTAAAGCCGTCTGATTCAAATAAAAAAATTTCTCGACTAACAACATGAAGATGTTTGGTTTCTTATAAGTAATGCATTTATAACTTTTGAAGATGTGTTTTTTTTTCAACGAGAAATTGGCATGGCAACCATCTGCTCCTTCTATCGACTTGTTTCGTGCTTCTAATGTTCGGACAGCTATAAAACCAGGTTAAACCCACCATTTTCTTCGGAAAATGCCTGTACCAAGTCAGGAATATGACAGTTGCTTTCCATTCATTCTGCTGGTTGTTATAGTTTAACGTTTGATTTTGTCAGGTTTAATGGACCTCCACCCTATTTGAATTTACCTTGGAGTTTGGTATTTTTGTCAATAATTTTGTTCATACGGGAGCTTTTCAAGTTTAATAATAGAAAACGCTAGCATGTTTTTAAACCATTAGAAAAATATTCAACAACTTTTTTTTCCGGTATAAAGATGATGTCCTCTCCCTTAAAGATTAAAGTTGGGTAAATATCGCATCTATCCAATCGAAATTGAAACAATGAACATCACAGATACAGTTTAGTCTCCTTCATATATCCACTTTCATCTAGAAATTGACAATGAGGGTTGATGATAACAAATCTTTATGACAAAAGGGATGGTTTGAGATTTCCAAATGTTACTTTTCCATTTCTATGTAGCAAAATACCAGCAGCATATGTATATGGAGTACATACATGTATCTATCACTAGATACGATATTCCAGAGCTTGAGTGTCCTATCATGATTCCCTTGACAGAGATATGCTTCTCACAAAGCTATTGAACTAAGGATTCAAGTGGTAGAGTTATGTCTTCGAACGTAATAAGGATGCTATCACGTGTTGGTTGTCCGCAAAGAGATATATGTGTCACAGATGACCCAAAATATGTTCAAACTATCGTATCCACAATGCCTTCCTCTTTTCCTCGATTGTGATATCACCGAATGAGACTTATCTCCATTTTGTACTTTCCATGAGCAACATGACAGGTGCCACTATTGGAGCAGGATCTGCTTTCCCTTCCATAGCACCAGGGATCACCCAAAGTTTTTTGTGGAAATCGTGTGGCTCAGTTTTTAGTTTTCTATGTAGTGTTTGTGAACTTATTTGTCTTTACGAGGTCTTTCGTTTTCTTGTCATGGCATTGTCAGTTTGTCTCGACCTTTTAATATTTTTAATATTCAGATCTGCAGCTTCGTTTGTATACAACAAACTATTTTAAGTGTTATTGATTGATTCTGATAATTATTAATCTTTTCTGTCAATCTTTTTCTAGTCTTATCCCGAACGCAGAGTTGGATACATAACAGGATTACTTCCACAGAACCATCAGGCTGCTGATGATTCTAAGAAAAGTATTCATAATACGCAACAGCTAACCAATGTACTAGATGCAGAAGAGATATTTAATCTAGTAAAGCGGGGTAAAACACGAAAGGTAAATTATCTAATGAAACATGCATCAATTGTGTATATTTTCGTATAACGTCAGAGGAGTTGCAATATATGATTTATATCATATTTGAATGTCTTTTTTTTGACGGTATGTAATTTGATAGTAATATCAACTGTCTATTAGAATGTTCTCAACATTATTTTTTTTATATATATATACGTTTCAGATAGCTACCCTATTTTCATATTTTCATGAACTTATTGTAAACCACGATTTTACTCTATCAGGTTTACTTAACCATGAATGATTTTGACCGTCCCAGTATATGAATTGACGCTCATAAACTTTGTATGTGCCTTCCTGTACGATTGGCTGTGTGATCAATATTAGGTTTTATGCATACTGACATACACATCATACTTTTTTTTATTTCATCACTTAAAATTTATTAAGTGACATTTTCTTTTACAGATACCTGACCTGGAGAACGACAAGGGTAATCCAATGAAAACATCATGCAATACCGCAGGATATGTTAGAGGATCTAGCGAGACACCCAACAATAATGAGACGGAAGGAGATATTAAGATGTCATGTGCGATGGCCTTCAGAAAGAAATTTTAAATATCAATAAATGTTTTAGTATTTTTTAAACTGTTATTATTTATTCAAACTTTAAAACAATCCGATAGAAAACAAAATAGAAATTACAGATGTCAGTGCTATTTATTGTGATTTCGGATAAATGGTTTCCAATTTCACACCACACCACAATATTGAAAGGATTACCGCATGCATTTTTAAGAGCCGAATATTGTCTTTCGTTTTCTGGCTATGGCATTGTCGGTTTGTCTCGACCTTTCAATTTTCAATGTCCACTTTGGATCTTCACCTTCTTTTGTATACAACAGACCATTTTAAGTGTTATTAATTGATTGAGATATTTTTATATTGAATGTCCCTTTGGTATCTTTCGCCTCTCTTGAATCGGCAAGCTTTAAAGAAGGGACTGATTTGCAATAGAAAATCGAATTATTCCGTATATCCGTATGGCAATGTAAGATAATTCATTCCTTTTCATCCTTCTCACCAAAAAAAATTAAAAAAAAATGAAACAAATGATTCCAAAAAATGCATTCATATCATTACAGAAAACAGTTGGGATGCAGCATTTCCTTTAATATAAAAAAATAGAAAAACAGATACCAAAAGATAAAAAAAGCCAACATGGCCAAAAATAAAATAACAAAGGAACAAATAACAATAACAAAAAACACGACACAGAACACTTAACACTAAGCAACACAAATACCATCAAAACCGGTGAAGGGTAAGTATTTCCTGCTCCACACATGGCACCTGTCATGTTAATCATGCAAATAAGTATACGGTAATAAGTCACTTTCGGTGGTAATGTTGAATATATCCATATATCCCATCAAACTTGAAATAGAGGACAAACAGATAACGTGAAGTTTGTCTCATATATCTTGACTTTCATCTAGATACTGACAAAGAAGGTCGGTTGAGAACATAGCTTAACGACAAACGGGATGCTTTCAGCTTTCCAATTGAGTATGTAGGAACATTCATGCAGAGCCTGTATGTAGTATATATCGATGCATGCATAGCATGAGACGTTTACCATGTCGACGCAGACGGTCTGCTTCCGTTAGACCAAATCGCTAAGAAATAAGCAACTATAGGTCACTATAAGAATGGGCAAAACAAGTACCATATAGCAAGCTATGAAAGGCCCCGACATGGCAAATGTAAATCTATTTAAACAAGAAAACCAACGGCAAGATTTATGTATAAAACATTAAAACATTACAACGAAAAAAACCAAATATGATATAAACAACAAACGACAACCAATGAATGACAGGCTCCAGACTTTGGACAGGCACATACAGAATATGGCAGGACTAACCATATTTGCGGATACCAACCCTCCCTTAACCCAGGATAGCGGCGTAACAGAACAACATAAGAACAAACTATCAAAATCAATTAAAAAGATAGACGCTAAAAGAACAAAATAGGACAAAGGCACAAAGTACCGATCCGAGAATACCTGCTGTTACTGAAATCTCGTTCAAAGCCAATAACAACAAATGAAAATTCAAATATCAATCAGTATATACCCATTGATTTAGTGTAAAGATGACGTAAGCGCACAAAATGCGGTAAACTTGAAGTTAAGATCCATGGATCTGAAACCTCATCACACAAGAAGGTATGTTCGCATGAAACCTATAAACAAATTCCGCGAAGCTATGATTTGTAGTTCATGAGAAAAATGCGACGGAATCTTATGAGACAGGACAGAAAGAGGTTTAACAGTATACTTTACTCCTTCAGAGTTGAGGTAAAATTACAGATTTGACTACTATTCTGGTATCTAAGATCTAAGATTATTAGACACTGTTTTAAGTTCAGGTGTGTATCAGCTTGTTCTTAAGAGCAAATGGAATTATATAAAACAATACCATTGCATTGGTGAAGCATGCTATTATACAATTAAAAGATTTGTAGAAAATCTTCCATTTACTAATATGTTAAAGAACAATTTAAGTATTGGCTTTATTAAAACACCTATTATATGTAAAATAAAAAAGCAGAATGATGTACTATTTTCCATGCAGATCTAATATTATTTTTTAAATCTTATACTTGAACGTCTACAGTGCGCACATTACTAAAAAGTGTGTAATGTTTTTATATTAAAGTCGTCAATATTTTAACATACCTTTACCATATGCAAAACAGTGTAAATAACCCGAGTGTTTGTTTGTGATAACTGGAAGCTCACTCTTAAAAGTATGTTTATTCCACATCACAGAAGTAGTAATGTGGAATCATTTATTATTTATGGAAATGAATTATTACAAAATGTTCCTGAATATAAGTTCCTAGGTTCACTTCTAAGATGAAATGATAACATGAATCAAAATCTAGAGGATCTTGCTAGACAGGCCTAAAAGTGTTGTTTTCTGTTAAAAGTCGAAACTTTTTCTGTAACAATCTTCCTATACAGGTCTCAAATAATCTTTTTGACAAATAAGTACGCCCAGTCTTAACTTACATTGTCGGAAATTTCATTTCGGATAGTTATTTGACCTATCATAGGGTAGAACTCCGAGACTAAAAAAATAAAATATTGGTCGATTTCATTCTATAGACAAAACTTACTCTGAAAAGCATTTAAACTGTTGTAAATTTATATTGGGAATACAAAAATGTCTGCTTCAGATGTTGATACACGATCTAACTTTGAAGATTTCCATTAGATCATTTCATTTCGATTTAGTCTTTTATCTTTCTAGCTAGACTTTACACCGAAGATATAAATATAAAAATAAGGAGATGAGGTATGATTGCCAATGAGACAACTATCCACCAAAGTTCAAATAAAATGGATGTAAGCACCTACAGCCAACCGTACGGCCTTCAACAATGAGAAAAACCCATACCGTATAGTCAGCTTTAAGACTTCTTTTAAGGTAAATAAGTACGTAAATTGTCAATCTCACGGATTTTTATGAAATTTTACAAGCAATTATAGCATGTGAAGCTGCAAATGAATATCGAAAAAATAAATAAGTAACTTTTATACTTTCGGATATACAGCATTCTGAATGTTCTGTAAACAGAGTTTCAAATGTATAGGATGCACGTAAATATTAAAAAAGTATTGAAAATTTTAAGTTTAAATTGCCATTTCTCAATAACGTGTCCTACGACTATTCTTTAAAATTGATATGTTATTGCCACTAAAATTTTTGTTTTGTTGATATGAAAGTCATAGGGTGTCACCGAATTCGTTTTTGCTGTATAAATCACTCAATTGTCTCTATAATATCTAAAAACGTCGAAAAATAAGAATTATAACCGCGACGTCACGATTATTTTTGCCTTTTCATCGCTTTGTCCACGCTGTACAGAAGATTCAACTATTCTTACTCAAAAACCAAATTCGGTGACCCCCTATAAATTTTATATCAATAAAACGGAAATTTCAGTGACAATAACATATCAATTTTAAAGAATATTCGTAGGACACGTTATTGAGAAATGGCAATTTAAAGTAACATTTTTTAAAGAAAATTTCGGAGGACAGGATTCGAGAAATGTTGATTCTAAGTCAGAATTGCTGTACTTATTTACGATATTTACGTGTATTCTATACATTTGTACTACTATTTCCGGATATTTTATTTGCTATATCTCAGAAAGTATAAAAGTTATATATATAATTTTTCGATTTTCATGTGCAGTTCCTCGTGCTCTATTTGTATGCAAAATTTCATAAAATTCCGTGAGATCATCCATTTACGTACCTGTTACCTTCATAAAGGCTTTGATGTTGTCAAAATCTCTTGCCAACCCCTATACATATTTTTGGTATAAAGCTGTCAAGATTATTGTGGTCTGGTAGCGATATATACTACATTAAATAGACAATTTTAAAGAAGTTAATCCACTCAAAAATCTGACCAAGAGAGAAATAGAAGATAAACATAAAATTTTAATGAAAATAATTTTGAGTCATGTTGACAAATGTAAGTTATTTTTAAACAGAGTTATTAAACTTGGTCCAGATACAGAATTTCCCTTAATGAACACTGTTCCACGATTTTATTATAAGAAAGTGTTTCACCAAAAGTCGTAATAGCGTCAACAACCTAGAAAAAATAAAAAGGGTGAATATTTCAAAACTCCTAAATAAGTTAGGCTAAAGTTTGCTTTCTGTCATGTTCTTTCAAACTAGGCACATTTCCTCTTGCAGTGTAATATGAAAAATTATCAAATTATTAAACCCTACACCATCAGAATTTGTGAAACTAATCGGTCAGTTTTTGCAGCAGTCATTAGAAATGAAGACAGAAGCAGTCATTAAAACTGAGCTTACTTTTTCATGTTTTGTAATAATTCTGGATGGTATTACAATGATTCATGTTAGCTTTATATTGCATTGATGTTTCCTTTTTTTTTGTCATAAACATTTAATTTGTTTATATGACGATAAAGATGATCATCGTTATAACATGATACGCTATAAATTTATCTATCTTAGTATGTCGTATGAAATATCCAAGTAATACAGCAGCTATTGGTCTATTGTATTTCTTTGGGTCTTCTTTGTAGGTTTAAATGACAGTCCAGCTGACATGCAAGTTTGATGGCAATATCAAAACTAATTTAAATTTTTATATCATTATTTGCATGCAGCAGTTAATGAAATCGCAATAATTAATCTCGCATTTTATCCTTTCTTCTTAAATTGCAATAAGATATGCACTCAAAATGTTTCGAATTTACAGTACTTATAAAAAAGAAGATGTGGTATGATTGCAAATGAGACAACTCTTCACAAGAGACCAAATGTTCTCAAATAGACAGTGTTACCAAAAAGTTAGACTTGTATTTCAATTGCATTATTTGTTGCAGATGAGTAAAACGCAAAGCTGCTCGTAACAATAACTAGAAATTGATATAGGTTATTATTCTATAGTTTATAGTCTGGCAGCAGCTTAAAAACCAACTAGAAATTGACAATAAGGGTCAGACAAGAGCTAAGCTTTGGGACAAAAATTAGGTTGTCATAATATACCCATTGTGAACTTTCCATTTCTATGTAACAATATACC